TTGAAACCTTGGATTTTCTGTAAAAAGGACCTGTTTGTATTCTAATACCTGCTTTTTTTCCAAAGCAAACTTCCAAAATAGTTTGCAGCATCGAGCCACCCACATGGGTGATAATTGCAGATTGCTGCCATTTTAGCAATTAAAGTAACAAAATAATGGTAACTGATCATTTTGTGAGAGCTTGCTCTTGACGGGAAGGAATTTGTCAGCAAGCCTATGATATTTGCTGATGGCAAAGGGATGGCAGAATTGGGAATTGGGGGTTCAGTTCCAGCTCTGATGGAGTGAATGCTGTAAACATTTTCCACCCATTCCCCAGCAAAAGCATGCCTATTTTTTTTACCCCTTCAGCCCTAGCCCCTGCAACTTGGCTCTCCCCAACCCCTTGCCCAAGCACCTTCCCTCCACCATTCAGACCCTCATTGTACCCATTTTTAATTCCCACTGCTGCTTCCTCATTCCAGTCCCTTCCTCTCGGCTCTGCACTCCACTCCCAGCCTGCCTCTCCCCACCCTCCCAAGTTCCAGAGCTTTTCCCTCTCTTGTAGTTCCCAATCTCTCTGTGTTTTCACTGAGTCCACTCCTGGGTCTGGCTCTCCCCAGCCAGACTTGGCTGCCTTTTCCACCCCACTGCTGAGAGGGATGCTAAAACCCAGCCATGAGTCGTGGTACGGAGCAATCTCCAGTAAGCCCTGCTGCTGGTTCGTGACTTTGTGGAGGTGGCACATGGTTTGGGTTGGAAGGGACCTCTAAAGGGCATCCAGTCCAACCCCCCTGCAGTGAGCAGGGACATCTTCTACTAGATCAAGTTGCTCAGAGCCTCCTCCAACCTGACCTTGAATGTTTCCAGGGATGGGGCAGCTACCACCTCTCTGGGCAACCTGTGCCAGTGTTTCACCACCCTCATAAGAAAAAATCTCTTCCCTGTATCTAGCCTGAATCTGCCCTCTTTTAGTTTAAAACCATGGCAGAGCTCTGCACAAAAGGAGGGTTTCACCCTGGGTGGGGTTTCACCCTGGGTGGGGTGGCACAGGCAGGGCCCTGTGTACAAAGGAGGATGACATGTTCTCAGCGAGGCTGTAATCTGAGATTTCAGTAACTAACAAAAGTCTTAAGTGTGAACCAACTGGTAATTTTTATCTTCTTTTCCCCTTCAAGTTTATAGCTTGTCCAAATTCAGACAGATTTTTATATCATGACAACATGCCCAAGATGTAGCACTTTCTTCTCCCATGTGAAGTCTCTCCTAAAAAATTTTGGAAGAGAAACTTTTTTATTTTTTAAATAAAAAGTAATAATCTACATATATGAAAGTTTTTTCTTAGCCTCAGTTTTTGAACCGTTTTGGCTGAAATTTTCTGTGGAGGGAAAAAAAAAAAAGGCCAAAAATTGGTCCAAAGCAAAGAATTCAGAAGGAAGGTTTTGCCTTTGCTGGTTGAAATGTGTCAGAGTTTAAAATAGCCCAGCACAGGTTCTCACAGTGGGAAGTGCTGGCCGCTGTAAATACGTAGTTACTTACGGCAGGTTAATACAGCGTACCAGTACTTTCATTAAGATAAATAACTTCAAACACTCTCTATTTTAATACCTATGTGTAGTACTGCCATGAGAGAGGCCAGGTACCTATCTGAGCACCTTGCCATCCTGGTCAAGTGACTTCATGCTTGGGCTGTTTTTTTCCAGAGTGGTGTGGTAGGAGGTAGACATTGCCGGTGGGTCATTGTTCTGTGTCAGGACAGTGCTGAAAGCTCTGCAAGAGTTCCCCTGTCAGAAAGAGAAATAGGTTTCACCTTTTTCAAAGAAGGAGGAAACTTAGAAATGATGAGTTGATGTTCTGTCACTCCAGTGGCTGCCAGATTGTTCCCACCATGTGGAAATGCCCCGGTCTGCATGTGTGTGCAGATAGTTTGTGACCTGCTTTTTTTGGTTTGGGCTTGCTTCTTGTACTGGTTTTCTGCTATTGGGAGATGTGATGGAGTACTTTTAGTGTACAAAAAAATAAATGAAATTAAAAAAATGAAACTTGCCACTTTATGAGAATGAAATTGAAACCAGCTGTCCTCAGCCTTTTCATGTCTTGATGGCAGTTCACACCAAGAGGCCAGTGGTGCCTTGGACTGCATCTTCTCACTTTCTTGTTGGTTTTCACTTTTCTAATGTGGAAGTTGAAGTAAATTCTTTGTCATTATGCAGCTGCTGTTGTTAATACTTGATAGGGTATACTGAATTATATTTAAGCTTCTAATGAATTACTGTCAGGGACTGCACTTATGTCTCAAAGATGGCTTGCAAAGACGGTCACAAGATCACAGGGTGAGGAAACCCCCACTTGTGAAAACATTCTGCCCAGACATGCCCCTGCCCCAGGCGAGCAGCAGTCGCTGGGGGGCACAGAGCTGGAGATGTGCCATTGCCACGGAAACCACGGCCCTCGAAGGGGTATTTCAGAAGGACCTGCCCGGGCAAGTGTGCAGGGGTGACCACATCACCGCACCACGGTTGGAGCGAGCCACGTGCGTGACCGCCTGCCACTGCGCCACCGAAGAGCTGAGACCCTCGCTCCCCTGCACCACTGTCAGGAGCTGAGACAAGCCACGTGCGTGACCGTCTGCTACGGAGCTTCCAGGAAACTGAGATCCCCTCGCCCCCCCTCATCCCTGGGACACCACAGATCCATGGTTGTGACTATTCTTGCAGCCCTATCCCGACTGCTTGCGTAATTTCCATCTGTCATTCCATCCTATCCTGTTGTTACTATCTTTTATTATTTTTTATATTTTTATTTTTTATTTTTAGTTTGGTTTTTTTGGTAATAAAAGGTACGGCATTTGACCTCGTTTGTGTCTTAATCTCGCTCTTGGGATCATATTAAAACCTTTCCCAACATCGGATCGGGACAGTTCCCTCAAATCCAAAGCACGTTATCACTTGGAAGAATATGAGGTGCCCTTTTATTATTACTTGATGTTGAGAGCTTTGCTGTTTTTCACAGAAACATCTGAAGTTACCCAGTGACTTAGACAACAATAATTCTTCTGTAGAAAAGACATAAGTTGTTTCAGAGATTTTCCTACTTTTGCGAGTTAGTAAGAAAGGACACCATTAAATTAATTTAATACAATGAGTTGTATTTCTGCTGTAGACATCACTGGGCCAAACTGGTCAGAGAATTACTATGGCAGGGTGCTTGCCTTGAGTTTTGGGAGGAGTGGGTTGAGAGGAGAGGAGAAGCTGCCATTTAGATGCTCATCGTTCAACCCAAATCTGAAGGCTCCTGTTGCCAGACAAGATCTTGTGCTGGTGGTGATCCATAGGTCCTGCTGTATGAATTGGCAGCAGGGAATATTGCTGAGCACAGTGAACATGTTCTCATCTCGAAAGCTTGAGCGTGTTTCTGCTGTGGCAGTCCTTTGTGGAATGAAGAAGAACGGTGACTTAACGTTAGGTTGGCCGCTTTAAAAAGCCAGGTAACGCCTACGACTTTCGAATTCAACACTAATTGTGGAATTTAATTCCTCCACCCATTTCCCAGCCTCTAAGAGATGTAAGCTGTCAGGGGAATGAGGAGAAATAGGGAGCATTTTTCTGTGTATTTTGTTTAACTTTTGGACAGTTGAAAGAATGGTTGCAAACCAATCCACACCTTTCACTGAGTCATAAAATGCCGTTTAATAGATGTTGTTTGCTACCCTGTACTTTATTTGTGCAGATCTCTTACAGTTACTTGCATTGTTTGCAATAACCTTTCAAAACGTTAGGAATGGCTCTTTACTGCTTTAGGTTTTTCATTTCAATTAGGGCGTTCTTCATACCTTCTTTTGGTCTGTCACCCCCCTCCCTGTGCGGGTGGTAGAGATCATGTTTATCAGTAAAGGGTTTCCAAAGTGAGCAGTGACTAGCTGTTGGATCTGGCCACACTTGAAGTTTATCTTCTGTAAATTAAATGCACACCTCCTGTGTACAATATACTTCTCTGGATGTTTTTGTTAACACAAACCATTATGTTTTCTTCCTCTTTAGGACAAATTAGCCCTTACAGCAACTTTCAGCACTCACAGACCCTTCCCTCCAGTCTTTGTTGAGGCTTCATTTCACCGTGGTTCCACCTCTGCCTTGCTAGCTTTCGCACTTCTCCATTGCTGAGTTTTTTTTGTTGCTGTTCGGTCGCCCATCGACGCGTTTTGGTTACATGACAGCGCTCTGAACGAGTGGTTTTGAGAGCAGTTGGAGGCCTGGCGTGCACCACTTCCTGCCTCTCTGCAGTCCGTGCGCCTGCCGCACAGCTAGCCTGGTCACCATCTGCAGCGGTGCTGTACGTGGGACGTGCCAGCGCAGCCTGTGCCCTCTGCTTCTGAGAATGCTTTCAGTTTAGAGTTTTCCAGGTTTGCAAGGCACCTTGCAGTTAAGGTTTAGACTGTCCCTGAGCCGTCCTCAAGAGCAAAAGGTGTGGATTTAGCTTGTGTGGGTGCTCCACTGATGTATCTTCTTAAGAAAGACCAGTTTGAGCCTGGCCTGGTTTCCAGTATGTGTTGCATCATATGTCCTTTGGACTGACAGGTGAAAAAGGCAAGTTGAGACTGAAGAGTGGTTTCTTACAGTCAGCTTACCTTGTATAGGTGTTGTCCTGGGGCCATCTTACAGAAGTCTACCTTGTGAAGTTTTTGAAGTTCTGCATCCAGAACTCCTATCTGAAAATCTTGCCTGCAGGACTTTGAGATATATTTGCTAATTTATATTCTTGCAGCCTTGCTCTGATTGACATGTGTGGTGGTTATGTTTATTAGTTTACTAGTCTTGTAAGTCTAGTGGTGAGAACGTGGAATTATGGATGTTTTCACTGGCATCAATATTTGTAGTAGTTACCAGCAAAGATCTCTAGATGGGAAGCTGTTGCCACAAACAGGGTGAAAATAGAGAGAAGAAAAAGATGGCAGTTCCTCCCTACATTTAAAGTAAGTTTTCTTTTTTGTGCTCATGATTTAACAGATGTCTTCTTCTCTATGCAGGGCTGTAATTGAAGTACAAGATGGCAACAACCAGCCACAGCAACTATGTCCTTCAGCAGCTAAACAACCAAAGAGAGTGGGGCTTTCTGTGCGACTGCTGCATCGCTATCGATGATATTTATTTTCAGGCACATAAAGCAGTTCTTGCTGCATGCAGCTCCTATTTTAGGATGTTTTTTATGAACCATCAACACACTACAGCCCAGCTGAATCTAAGCAACATGAAGATTAGCGCTGAATGCTTTGATCTTATTTTACAGTTCATGTATTTAGGAAAAATTATGACAGCCCCGGCCAATTTTGAGCAATTTAAAGTGGCCATGAACTATTTACAGCTGTATAATGTACCCGAATGTCTAGAAGATATACAGGATACAGACTCATCTAGTTTAAAATGTTCATCTTCTGCTTCTAGCACCCAGAATAGCAAAATGATATTTGGCGTGAGAATGTATGAAGACGCGCTTGCTAGAAATGGCAGCGAAGCAAACAGGTGGGGCATGGAGCCGCCAAGTTCAACAGTAAATACATCCCATAACAAAGAGCCTGATGAGGAAGCTTTGCAGCTAAGCAGCTTCCCCGAACAACTGTTTGATGTCTGCAAAAAAAGCACCACGTCCAAATTCTCTCACACAAAAGAGCGTGTGTCCCACTCGCGCCGTTTTGGAAGAAGCTTCACCTGCGACAGCTGCGGCTTTAGTTTTAGCTGTGAAAAGCTACTGGATGAGCACGTGTTAACGTGCACCAACAGGCATTCTTACCAAAGTGCCAGGTACTACAGTGCTGAAAAAATAGACTTTAACGAAAAGGACTCTACTTCTAAAATCATCTCCACACAGACAGAAAAATACAAGGGGGACTCGAGCCAAGCTGCAGACGATTCTTTGTCTCCAGTGTCAAACATCACGAGCAGAAAAAGCAGCACGGTTGCCTCTGAGACATCAGGGGAAGAAGGAAGTAGAGCCTCTGAGAGGAAGAGGATTATCATCAAGGTGGAACCGGAGGACAATCCTGCAGATGAGCTAAAGGATTTTAATATTATTAAGGTGACAGATAAAGACTGCAACGAGTCCTCCGACAATGATGAGCTAGATGATGACCAGGAAGAGCCGCTTTACAGATACTATGATGAGGAAGAGATCAGATTGAAGAGAAACGCTCGGAAGACTTTAAAACCCCGTTTATCCATGGATGAAGATGAAAGAAAGTGTTTGAAAAGTCCACGGCACCTTAACAGGAAGGCTCCTTCAGTGCAGGAAGATGTGGAGAATGCTCCCTGTGAACTTTGTGGGCTAACAATTACCGAGGAAGATTTGTCCTCTCATTATTTATCCAAACACATAGAAAATATATGTGCTTGTGGCAAGTGTGGTCAAATACTGGTCAAAGGCAAGCAGCTACAGGACCATGCGCAGACCTGTGGAGAACCCCAGGATCTGACCATGAACGGTATCAGAAATTCTGAGGAGAAAATGGACTTGGAAGAGAACCCTGAGGAGCAGTCAGAAATAAGGGACATGATGTTTGCAGAGATGCTAGAGGACTTCAGGGACAGTCATTTCCAAATGAACAGCCTTCAAAAAAAACAGTTATACAAGCATTCTGCCTGTCCTTTCCGATGCCCTAATTGTGGTCAGCGTTTTGAAACTGAAAACCTAGTGGTTGAACATATGTCAAGCTGCCTGGAGCAAGATCTGTTCAAGAACTCCATGATGGAAGAGAATGAGAGGGATCACAGACGTAAGCATTTCTGCAATCTTTGTGGGAAAGGATTTTATCAGCGTTGCCACTTGCGGGAACACTATACCGTTCATACCAAGGAAAAACAGTTTGTTTGTCAGACATGTGGGAAGCAGTTCTTAAGAGAGCGCCAGTTGCGGCTCCACAATGATATGCACAAAGGCATGGCCAGGTATGTCTGTTCCATTTGTGATCAAGGAAACTTCCGAAAACATGACCATGTACGGCATATGATATCTCACTTATCAGCTGGAGAGACTATATGCCAGGTCTGCTTTCAGATATTCCCAAATAATGAGCAACTGGAGCAGCACATGGATGTTCATCTGTATACATGTGGAGTATGTGGAGCAAAATTTAATTTGAGGAAAGATATGAGATCTCACTATAATGCCAAGCATTTGAAAAGAACATAAGCGTTAACATACTGTTAAAGCATTAAGTTGGCAGCAGAGAGAACACCAAAGTAAGGCATACAGTATAGTAGACAAAAATAGAAAAAAAAAAAATTGAAAATAAGTCTCTTTTTTATTATTATTTTTTTTTTAAGACCCTCCTAACCATAGGTGTCTATTTAGGCTCATTAAGTATATAGCTTTGAACAGCATAATGTGTTTAATTATTACATTTTCACTGTTTCCTAATATCAGTTTCTGTTCTTAATTTTATTGTTTTACTAAGTAGATATACAAATCGTTATTTTTAAACTGTAGATTAAAAGCACAATGTTACCCCTTCACTGACTGCTATTAAACAGTTCTCGGATCCACGTCCGTAAGATGAGTGCTTTAATATTTCCATGTGTTGTTTCTTCATGTGAAAATTTTAGATCACAGCAATTAACATGCAAGAGCATAATTGTTCAAAATCCCCAAATTAATTTTCAAAACGAAAAAAAATAACCCAAACCAACCCAAACCCAGTGCCAATGAATAATCCTTGGCTCTCTGACTCTGCCACAAGGGCAGAGCTGGTCCTCTGCTTCTTGGCTTTGTTGGAACGTGCATCCCAGGGGTGAGAGCAAGTAGGCTCAGTCAAACCTTGCAGACTTGGAGTGGTGTGTGCAAAAGGAAAGGGAGTTAATGACCTCCTCAGGGGTAACCGAGGAGTTCCCAGCAGTGCTCATGTCCCAGACTTGAAGTCCTAGCAGAACTGTACAACGGACGTTGTCCTTTCCGTACCTGCGTGGGTACACATAACCTGTTTGTTCTGATGTCCGAGGGAAGAGTGGCTGTGGTGGGTTGCTAGGAATGCAGAATGGCCATGGGCATTGAAGACTGCGTTTCTCAGCCTGGCTGTAAATGGTGCCTTGCTGCTTGTATTGGAAAGCTTAAAAGTGGGATGGGTGGGAAGATAGTCCTGTTGCTTGGGCGGGGAGGGGAAGGGGGAGTGTGGCTCTTGTGAACTTTAGGTTTTTTATTTCTTGTTTTCATGATACTTTCTGAATGTTCTGTTTTTCAACAAGAATATCACAAGAAAAGACTGCAGAGTTTGTTTAATAAATGTAAAGACATTGTATGGCTTTTAAGATTCCTTTCTGATCCTAGTATAGGCCTAATCTCTGTAGTTTGTCTCTTAATTTAATTGGATTTTAAAATCCCACTTAGTACCAGCTGACATCAATTCAATGAGGCAGTTTGGCCTTTGAGAGAACAACTGGCATTGACCCTTGGGCACCAGCTGTCTAAACGGTTGTTAAGTGCGTGCTTTTTTTTTTTTAATGGGGAGAGGAAAGGATCCTAATATGTAATGATGGAGAAAACTTTTAAAAAATAAATACTAGCAGTACTTTCTCCCAGCAGATCTCACTTTATCCAGTTGGGTAGTAATGCTGTTTCCCACTGAGCCACGGAGGGAGGAAAGCGATTCAGATCAGCAATGAAGGCAGTTGGACTAGATGATCATTGTAGGTCCTGTCTAACTGAAGTGTTCTGCTCTGTCACCTCATGCACCAGTGGTGGGGTTGAGAATACGAGCCTGGAGCTGAGGGTCTAGTCTAGGGCTTTCACACGCTCGTTGCTGTTGGAGTTGAGTTTTGATCCCTTGTTGTTTCTTGGGGATTATGAGGGGTATTGAGCTTTAATGTTAGACTGTTCATAACTGAAGTGTTCTGCTCTGTCACCTCATGCACCAGTGGTGGGGTTGAGAATACGAGCCTGGAGCTGAGGGTCTAGTCTAGGGCTTTCACACGCTCGTTGCTGTTGGAGTTGAGTTTTGATCCCTTGTTTTTTCTTGGGGATTAGGGGTATTGAGCTTTAATGTTAGACTGTTCAGAGAAATTAATGCAGTTCAGACTCTCCACTGTAACTATTTAAACTAGTATGAGTTGCCTTGCACTTATTCAGTTTTAAATGTGCATTAGAATTTCTCTTGGTTGGTAGACACGTGTTTCTGCAGTGATGGAGAAGGACTTTGCCACCAGACCTCAGTCCTGAGCCGGCTGCTGGCTCCCTGGGTACTGACTGTTTCGGGTGCAGTTCGAGCCTTCAGCATTTTGCCTTAACTGCTCAGTTGTATTTTTCTTGTATGATGCTGAAGCCAAATATGTCCTGAATTACCATGGGGCCAAAAAGACCGTGGACTTGAATGCGCTCCAGCATTTCAGTTAATTCAGAGCTTCCCCCTTCTCAGGGTTTATTCCACATTCCCCATCCCAACCCAGACTGAAGCTCAATGAGTAAGCGGGATGGGGTATTTTAACACTTTTTAGCACTGGGATCAGTGCTAAGGTGATTATAAGACTCTCCAAAAGACAAAATATTTAACTATAACTTAGAGATGAAGTAGTTAATCAAGTGCTGTAAGTGAAAGAGTTGGCGGGGTTAATACACTGCACGCAGCAATTCTCTGACATGCAGGTTATATCCCTTACGGTATCAGCTATGGCTGGACTGGGAAAAATGGCTGAGGGAAGTGAGGGAGAACTGGAGGGTGCTGGAGGAGCTGGCAGAAGAAACTTGTGGCACTGGGGAGTGGGATGGTTGAGTGGGAGAGGAGATCCTGGGTGGGAGGGAGAGGCGAAGGCTGGGAGGGCAGTATTAGAGCTGTGCAGTGCGAAGCCAGTCCCAAAGGTGGCGTGGAGGGGGTGGCTGGAGGAGTGGATAAAATGTCCTGTAGACGCCTGCAAGACCAGAGAGAGAATGACTCAGCTTGGCTGGGAAAGCTGTCGGCCTGGGCGATGAGCTCACTACATACAGCACAAACCCAGAGCGCGGATGGCGTGGCGAGTACAGCCAGCCCCTGTGCTGAGAGGACTGCAGGGGTACAGAAAAGCCTGGATTAAAGACCTTGTCGAAAAGGAGGGGGTGACCTCAGTGAACTCAGAGATCATTCCTGAATACAGTGAAGGGCTGAGGGTGATTTATGGAGACTCCTGCGCAGGGTCAGGAGCCCTTCTTTACAATTTATTGGCCTGAACTTGACCCAAAAACAGTTCACAAAAAAGTTACTTCCTAGTGTAAATAGACCTGCTAACTACAGAAGTTAAATGGAGGAACTGGGAATGATGGTATTTATATGTACTATCTAACTTTATAACATCCTAGAATACCTTTGTTTTTTCAGTTATAAGCTGTGCTGTAGTAGCCTTTCAAAGGAAAGTTTCGTAAACTTTTCCAACTGAACTTGAATTAATGTTTTTTCCTGTTCTTGTGTAACAAAACCCAGTGCCTTGGAGCTCACGTGGATGAATGTCCAGACTAAGGCTCAAAAAGAGCGTGAGTTGCACTGCAGGGGAGCTTGACAGTGGATCTGATTGTATGTAGGCAGGGAAAACCAGAATGGCTGAAGTAGCCAGAAAAGTGATCAAGGGGAGTAAAGGAGAACAAATCAAAGGTACTAAGGCACAAACAAGACAGCGTGGCTTGTGAGTAGATGGGGAGAGTGTTTATGGTGATGTGTAAAAGCATGCAGGGGAACAGCATGGCACTGTTGAAGAAAAGGCCTGGAGTGACAGGAGGAATTTGGCTGCTGTGAGCAGGGAGAAGGGGTGGGTGCTGAGGCAGCCTGGGGCTGGTCGCTCCTGAGGTCAGGGGGTTTCTCCCCAGTGTGGGACAATGTCTGCAGGAGAGTGAAATGGTATTTCAGCACTCCTACTGTGATAAAAATGACTTGCTGTGGAGACAGAATGAAAACAGACCTGAAAAAAACCCAGTTGCAGTTACGATATCCTAGAAGTCTTGCTGTTACTTGAAAGATAGTGAAGGGGAAGCAAAAATACTTCATTTAGAGTTCTGTTTCCTCTAACAAATTTGTACTTCTCAGTCATCATAATGTAGTTTCTTTGCATCTCCTTACTGTGCTACGTGGACTGTTAAGAGTGTAAAAGCACTTAAGGATCTTTGAGAGTGGAGGTGTAAGCGTATCACGTTGCACAAAGCGTAGCCAGAAAGAAAAATACATGCTAGATGCTCTGACTTACATTTTTAAGTGATTTGCTATTCTTATTTTTGGAGGACCTCTCTCTGTTCTGTTGTTTCCCTCATTTTGGCAGTGGTGTGGGCTGTGACCCTGAAAATAATTTAGAAGTAGCCATCCTAGCTCTTAGCTTTTGGAATTTACTGAAAGTTAGAAAGAAGGAATTCATTAAGACCTCGGATAAGCTTTAAAATATCACAAAAACTGTCAAGCTTCTTTTTCAGTTTCAGAGGAGACATTTTGAATGTTAAACTCCCCCCCATATATATACTTGTAAATGCTGTTGGCAACTTGTAAATTCGAAGAGTATTTACATTTGTGTATAACGATATTTGTAGCCAACAGGTCTGTGGAGGAATCTCGATTTGAACAGAATGTCACAGAAGTCTAAGAATGTGTGCTTTTACCAGGGGACTTCTCTATTTAATATTTTCAGTTAATGGAGAAAATACAATTCAGCATATTTTTTTATTCAAAGCTGAAGACAGAAAATGTACCGCCCTGGAAAATATATTAAAAATGGGTTGTCATAAGTGTGAATACTTTGACTACACTATTGTATTGGAACACACTAGTGCTAAACC